CACCCAGTTTGGACTCCGGCGGGAACCCCTGATCTAACATGGGCTACTAACTAACTAACATTAAGGATACTCGACACAATCCGAAACCTCAGGAAAATAAAACTCTTGTTCCGGTGATCGCATCTTCTCCTTCTTCTCAATGGTTGGCATAGTTTTATCCGCAAAGTAGACGCTTTCGGTGCACAGGCCTCTAGGGCACACAGTATCTGTTTGGTAAAGGACACAAGTCAGTAAAATTACCTTTAATGGCAACTCAAAGTCCGCCTATAAAATTGCTCTCACAGAGTTGGTCGTGGCTGTGGTGAAAAGATTGGAGCCTTGCTTATTTCAAACAGCACTACCGACAATACGCAGTAATTACGCGAAAGGCTCCATTAAAACGTGTTTTAAGTAGGGTTTAATAATTAATTTGAGAAAACCAGTTGGCAATTGTACGCGTACAACTATGGAGTACAAATTAAAACATGCGGCCAATGGTGTTCGTCTTCCCATACAAGTCAGTCGTGGAAATATGGGGGGAGGGGGAGTCGGGGTCGATAAGAGAAGGCTGGTTGCGCGGCAGGAAGGGTTTGGTGGGGCCGTTTCAGAGGGGAAGGGGTGCGGGAGAGAGCGGGAGGGAGAGAAGGAGCAGAAGAGTGCGAGCAGCTAAGCGACCATTGGCCATACCAGGCGCAAAACTTGCAGAAAGTTCTCCTATGCACACAAAACCGACTCCTTCAACCTGATAGAGGCCGCTTCTGCTGCTGCTAACAGATTCTGATCGAGGGACTTGAGGTAGTTTGGCCGGACCTTATAGATCACCTGGAAGGCTTCGTTGGGGTCCACACGACGACCGGAAACAACAACGTGCACGAGAATAACACTATTTATGCTCTTAACTTCGCCTTTTCTTAGTCATATCGGGAGGTGTTCCTTTATTGTTTTGTATAACTGCCAACTCCTGTGACCAGTATTATATGCCCCACGGGAGCAAGTAAACGAGAAGATGCACATGGAGGTGGTCTGAAATGGTAAATTATCTTTACGTTCTCTGCGCAGTGTAGTGTTTTAGTTTACTGATCTGATCGTTTCATTGAAGTTTCTCTAGCATGTCCATAAAGGCACCAGTTAAGATAGGTGCCAGACGCGAACCTATAGCAACGCAACCTACTTCCCTGTAGAGTTAGTTACCGAAAGGGAACTGTCCATTTAAAGTGCACCTTAGTGAAAATTCCTTTAATGTATTCGTCGGCATTCTTATGTCCTGCTGATTTGTTAATAGGAACTCGCAAATTTAATCGACCGTCTCGGTGACCGGGGAGGTCGTAAATAGCAATGAGGCGTCCCACAAAGAACAACATGCCGTTAACGTTCGTGTCTTTGACGTCGTCAATAAATTCGGGCGTATATAGATAGCTATGCGTATGCTTGTCAGCTGGTCTTCTGAAATTCTCTGATTGGGATTTTCGCAAATCTTGTGCATTTGACCCATTTGTGAAAACCTTTGGTGGGATTTAAACCCATGACAACAAGGGCCAAGCTGAGTGCAGCCAAAGGTATAACCAGCTGAGAGCAAGGAGTTTGACTACATTTGCGTTAAGTGACTCGAACAGCCTACTGCAACATCTCGAATACATCAATTTCGATGCAAGAAGCAGATTATCTTAACAAGATTTCATGTGCAGTCAAGCGTAAATCAATCAATCGGGTAATTAAGCCTTGCCCTTACGCTCGCGGGTTTGAATTACACCGAGGCAACTGATTTTTTTTACAATTGGATTCGATTGAAGGTATCCGTGCACCTTAGCGAAACGGACAATCAGCCCCTTCTGACCTTCCTGCGATAACCGGGCGGCAACGAAAAATTCGTGTTTGGGAAAGATAGGAAGATTTCTATGTCTGCCGGGAGCTGATCATACGCCAGTTGCTGGCAAACGGTGAATGATACTTGCTCAAGTTTCAGGAATGACCTGAACGCGAATCGGGTCGCTTTCACCAACAATTACGCTTTACCTTCCTGACTACGCCCATCACTAACTGTGCAAAAATAGGAAAACAAAATCTAATCGACTGGGGGAGGAATGTGGGTGTGGTGAAGCCCAAACGAACCCATGTTATGTTAACTGCCAGAAACTAGAAGCACAGCAGTACACTAGGAGCCAGATCCAAAGAGATCAACCACCTCAATGTTTGGTTCATACGGAATTACCATTCTACAGTGTTCATCGCTTGGTACCTACAAAACAACTCTGGACAATAGAATATGAAGTCTGCAGTCAAGCTCTGGCACAAAATTATCAGTATTACGAAAGTGCCCCGGTGATAACAGCGGAGAGGAAACAAGTTTTATCAGGATCGCATCTTAAGGTGACACACTAAGCGAAATTCTAGGAAGGCGCCTTGGTAAAGCTTTATCCACTACCTTTCCAGCCCCCGACGCCCATGTACTGTTCTCGACTACTCCCATCCTATAAGGACAAACTGCCAGCCCAGACCACCTGCATGTGCATCTATTCATTAACCTGCTCCTGTGGCGCAGAATATATTGGTCGCATGGGCAGGCGTTTGTTAAAAATAGTACAAGAACATCTTCCCGCATGGTTAGGAAAGGGCTAAATACATAACATTAACAGGTCTATTTTAGCGCACATGGTGTATTCAGATCATCGTGTAGATGCCAGAGTGATCTAGAAGGTGCCCCTAAGTTATTCAAAATCCCTTGGATAGCGTCTGTTGGCTAAAAACGGGCTAAGCGGGTGCAATCAGGTTACGCAAAACTGTCCTCTGCGCACAAAAGAACTTCGTAAAAGCGCTGAATTTATCATGGTCGAAAGTCGCCAATTCAACCGCCCGCAATCAAGTACCCTTCCTGGCGGCCGTTTTCCCTTGACGCTGACCAGATTATTGACCCCAGACTTTAGGTAGAGGGGATTTAGTAGAGGAATCGACTAAACATTCACACAGCACGCATTATAGAGCTGTCTTCATAGTTATAACTGATTACACGGACAAGCTGTGAACGGACAGTGAAGTTGGCAACAGTCGTCATTCATTGATGAAATCAAAAGATAGCAAGACACGGAAAACAGATAAACATTATTCTCCGAAAATCGACCTTACATCCTCTTAAATGCAGATTACAACAAGTGTCAAATATAACTGGTATGAAATCGCACGAGCTTACTTGCACCAACAAAACAATTATCAACAATTTTAGTCAAGAAAGAACAGATCGCGTTTCTTTAACAATAAAACGCGAAGGAGTAAACAGCAATCCATGAACATCTAAGATTATTTAAGTTCTGCAAATATTCCCATGTTTCATTTGAAAGGGCGATTTGGCAAACGTATGTGTTCAACAACTCTTCATCAGGCCAGTACATTTGTTGGGATAATGAAAATTGTACAGTTGGCAGGGTTAACAAGTGTACTTTGATTGCAATTAATGGTTTTCACGCCGCTTGCATGGCGAGATTGGCAGGTAGAGGTCTTCATGCTGAGGGAAGGGGGGCAGAGGAGGAAATTGGGTGGGGTTGTGGGCATTGGTCAGGAGTCAGGTACATGGAGTGATAATTACTGTAATTTGCACATGGAGCGAACGACTGTCACTAGAGGGCGGGGGCGATGTGCGATCGCCAGCTGGCGTCAGGGTCGGCCACGGAAGTGAAAGTGTTTGTGTTAGCGTCTTCTGCAAATGTACTGGCCTAAAGAAGAGTTGCTGAAAACATATGTTGGCCAAATCGAATTTTTAAATATAAGATTATATTAGAAGAGTCTTAGAGCAACCATCTTCTGGCCACTCGATACTTTCGAATCTGGTCGGCAAAGTTGAGCGAGCAAGTGTTAAAAGTTGTCGCATGAAAACTCATAGCTGTGATGGCGCTATGGTGACATCACTTTTGCAAGGAAGACGCACAGTAGTTTAAATTTCGAAGAGCAAACAGTACACTTTTTTAACTGCCTACTTTTCAGACTGATCTGCCAATCACTACCGACCTACCTCAAAGGCCGCAGCTCAAGCTGGCTCCTCTTAAACAGGACCTTCATATATTGTTCGTGTAAGAAAGTGGAGTTTAAAAAAACTAAACTTGGTGCTTATTAGGCGGGCGTCATAGTGAACTACCTGATGGTACTTTGTTCGTTATTCCACGAGTAACTGGTGAAGTGGGGAGTCTTGTCCACTCACATTTAAACTGGTTGAGGATACTTCCAGAAAAACGCTCAGACTAAACAAGATGAGTGTTTAAATCAGGTCAGGAGTTTTCGAGAATGTATACATCGACCGCATCGCCCATACAGAAACGACGAAACGGTCCACGATTTTTCTAGTGTTGGAGATATTTCCAGTGACGAAGGCAGTTTTGGCAGAAGACATGGATAAGTATCATTTACGAAACATGTGCGATCCAATTTAAAGTGCGTGCTCGGTGTGAGCTCCGATCGTTTCAAACATTTGTGAGGGTTTTCAAAGACAGGAGATAAGCGCACAAGCCCCCTAGTCGCTTCAATCAAAACTGGGAAAGTTAACAAAAAGTATTTGCGAAACAAAACTACAGATATCACTATACGCAGACACACAGAACAAGGTGCACCTGGCCAAACGCCAAAAAGCAAGCTTACCGTCATGCCTTTTTTTAACAGTACATATTATCCAAGCGGACGCACCAAAATAAGCCGGAAACGATAGAATTCAGATCGACATGCAGAATTCAATATTAAGCTACTCTCGTTGCCACCGAATTGCTACCCAAACGCGTGCCAAATATTCACTCCGCAATATAAGTTGACTAAATTAAATTTAAAGCTTAGGCAAAACAGCATGACTAGGCGGTAGATAGACGCACACAAAACCCCGCGGTGTACGACAGTGGGAAACGCGTAACAAGTAAGTTCAGTCAGTGCGCGATGCACGAATAGGAAAAAAAAGAGAGTGGAGAAACCGTAGGCGGGCCGCTAGGCTAAAGTATGCGAGGGAAACCTTGAAAACGTCAAGAGGGGGGGGGCAGGGGCAAGTCAAATTGTCGAAACTCACAGCTTGTCGGTCACGCTCGGCTTGATCGAGGTTGTGGATGCCCAGAAGGAAGGAATAGTCCATTATTCGAAAAGACTCCAAGACCTGCAAAAGAGGGAAAAATGTGTAAATTAACTACAGGCATAAGAATAATAAATTCCGCCAACCTTATAAGAGCAAGTAAAACAGCAGTGGTCAGGCTTTATCTGGCCGACCTTGACTACATCTCACCGGGCTCAATGGCCTGAGGCAGTCAAGCCGCACCTCACTTATGCGGCACCAACCTGGTCTCCTACGATCAACTCTTCTAGCCTCCACCGCCTTCAGTCATCACAGAACGCTGCACTCGCACGATCACGGGCTGCTATAAAATGTCGGCTATCGATCATCTTTATACAGAGGCTTCTGTCCTGCCGATCGCCATCACCACACAATCTTAGGCCAGCAACTCTGGTGGACCTGTTCGCAACCCGGCCATCCTAATCACTACCGTTACCACGCTCCTGAACCCAGCCGCAACATTCGGTCGTCTATTCAAGCTTTCCCCAATGAAGCTGTCGCCCC